AGTCTAGGGAGTGGTGTTTCCTCTGCGGAAGCAGCTGAAGCCCTGAGCTGCTGTCCACAGGCAGACGGACTCTCCAGGAGCCCCCAGTGGGCCTCGGCTCCTCCACGTCAGCTCCTCTCTTGTCTCTCTGCTGGTCCACGGGGTCCGCTGCAGCTGGCCAGGTCTCCTGGGAGTCAGAGGCGACCGTGGGTTCCACCCCAGGGCCCACCTCATCAGCACTGTGCTCTCACCATCTGAGCACCAGCCTAGAGGAAAAGGAGAAAGAAAGGAGGCTGATCCCCCAAGCAAAATGGAAACGCCTCCACCTCCCACCCTCAAAAGCACCCAACAATGGACCCTGGGCACCGGGGGCCTCATCGGGAGTTGTTTGCATCACAGTAAAATCTACAACGTTCCCACGGCACGTGAGTGGGTGCTTCCTCAACACAGGAATGTCCGGCTGCCCCAAGGAATCTCCGGTAATGTCGAGATCTTTGAATAGGAGCAAGGGATCAAGGCCGATGGCATCTCTGAGGGCCTCAGTTTCCATCCATGAGGGCAAGCTCCCCTTTGGGAATCTGGGTTATGGTTCCCGAGATGGGAACAAGAGGCCTCCACTGAGGGCTGTATTTATGAAAATCCATCACGTAAACACGCCTGTGAAAGTCAAAGCAGCACAGTAGCTCACTGGAAAGGTGAAAGTTTCTCGTCATCACACCCATAGAGATAATGGGGGCGGGGTGGGGGCAATCGCACGTGTGTGCTCTGTGCACTCACAGCCGCCCCTCCTCTGCTCTCTGGCTCCTGATGTGCGCAGTGAGAGGCAGACACCAGGCTAGAATCAGGAGGGCCAGCGTCTTGTCCCAGTGAGTTTGGGTCTTGAGACAGTGAGTAGCAAGGGTGCAGAGAGGAAGGGATTTATCGACAAAGTTATCTGACTTTGATTCTTGAGCTCAATAGGGAGAGTTTGAATAACAAGGGACACCGATACTAACACACATGTTAAACAGAGAAACTGCTTCTCATATTTGATAGGCAATAAATGTCGCATTTGTTTATACTTCTAAGCAAAGTCTCATTCTCACTTGCTCATTTTCGGAGAGTGAGAAAGCCCAAGATCTCACAGCCCTTCCCCTTCCTCGGGTTATGGACACCAGGGCCCTGGGGACTGCAGAGCTGGGGAGGTCTTCTGGGAGTCACAGGGGGTCATGGAGGAGAGTGGAGGAGAGAATGCTATTCTTTCGTGTGATCAGGTGGTTGTCAGATCCCCGCTCCTACATTCAGTAGGGAGTGACTTTCGGAAAATTATGTAACCTCTCTAAGTCTCGGTTTTCTCATCTGAAAAATGGAGCTGATGGTAATCATCCTCATCCAGGAGAACAGTATGTGTTGGTCATCCTCATGGCATTCTTTTTAAGAGCTTCACAGCACTCCATTATATAGGCATTAAATCATTAATTTATTGTGTACAATCTCAACTCACTGCAACCTCCACCTCCCGGGTTCAAATGACTCTCCTGCCTCAGCCCCCTGAGTAGCTGGGATTACAGACGTGCGCCACCACACCCAGCTAATTTTTGTATTTTTAGTAGAGATGGGGTTTCACCATGTTGGCCAGGCTGGTCTTGAACTCCTGACCTCAGGTGATCTGCCGAGCTCAGTCTCCCAAAGTGCTGGGATTACAGGCCTGAGCCACCACTCCGGGGCCATAGACCTAAATATAAAACACATTTGTTGAACGCCACGAAACCAGCAGCTTTGCTGTCACCACCAGAGGGACTCACATGATTTGGGTGAATTTTCAAACAGGAATATTGATGCAAACAAACAGGAAGGACCAGTGGCTCTGCTCATCTCCCCAGAGACCAGAACCTGCCCAAACCACCCAGCATCCCTGACTGATGACGATGCCTGAGTGCATGTGACGAGAAGACACGGCGAGGGGAGATGCCTGTGGAAAGCAGATGGCCTGAGCTCTGTGTGCATGCCCCAGTCCACGGGGAGATCCATCAGCAGCAACGGAAGCCTCACCGACTCAAGGTGTTAGTGCACAAATTCACACAACTGTTGGCGAAATACCATGCATGCAGATAAAGGAGCGGTTCCTGGGAAGCCATGGGTAAGAACAGAAACAAACAAAAAATGAGCAGAGGCAGCTGTGGCTACACACTGCTGACCGAATTTACAAATTTAGTACAGGCAGGTTACAAACAAATGAACAAAACGGTAACAACAATTCTCAGGAGAAAAGAATCAGAATCCAGCGTAGAAGTCTATAACCTAAAGCATCCAGTGTTCAATGATAAGTTACAAGACAAAAAGAAACAGGAAAGTGTGGGGGGAACCAGTCAATAGAAACTGTCTTCGTGTCCCTAGATGTCACACTTAGCAAACAAAGACTTCAAAGCAGTTACTGTATGTTAAAAGAACTAAAAACATGGCCAGGCATGGTGGCTCATGCCTGTAATCCCAGCACTTTGGGAGGCCGAGGCGGGCGGATCACTTGTGGTCAGGAGTTCAAGACCAGCCTGACCAACATTGAGAAACCCCATCTCTACTAAAAACACAAAATTAGCTGGGCGTGGTGGCGCATGCCTGTAATCCCAGCTGCTTGTGAGGCTGAGGCAGGAGAATCACTGGAACCTGGGAGGCAGAGGTTGCAGTGAGCCGAGTTCATGCCATTGCGCTCCAGCCTGGGCAACAAGAGCGAAACTCCATCTCAAAAAAAAAAGAAAAAGAAAAAGAAAAATGACTTATGAAACATCAAGCACAACGTTTGCAGAATGAGAGTCTCAGAAAGAAAGAAAAGGGGAAAGAATTATTTATAGAAATAATGACTGAAAACTTACGAAATTTGATATAAAACATTAATCGATAGAATCAATGTTTACTTCTAGTAAAATAAAAACCCAGATATCCACTCCTACACACCTTGTGTCAAGCTATGAAAAGACAAAGAGTAAACATTGAAAACAGTATGACAAAAACTTCTCTTGATGTACAAGAGCACCACGATAAAATTAGCCACTGATTTCTGATCAGAAACAACGGTGAGACAAGGCACGGTGGCTCACGCTTGTAATCCCAGCACTTTGAGAGGCCAAGGCGGGTGGATTACCTGAGGTCAGGAATTCAGGATCAGCCTGGCCAACATGGTGAAACCCTGTCTCTACTAAAAACACAAAAATCAGCTGGGCATTTTGGTGCGTGCCTGTAATCCCAGCTACTCGGAGGCTAAGGCAGGAGAATCGCTTGAACCTGTGAGGCAGAGGTTACAATGGACTGATACCACGCCACTGGGGAACAAACAGAGGGAGACTCCATCAAAAAGAAAGAAAGAAAGAAAGAAGGAAGGAAGGAAGGAAGGAAGGGAGGAAGGGAGGGAGGGAGAGAGGGAGAAAAAAAGAGAGAGAGAAAGAGAGAGAAAACAAGAGAAAAAGAGAGAGACGTGGGAAGACAATGGGATGGCATAGCCAAAGAATGAAAGAAAAAAAATGTCAACTAAAAATGCCATGTCCAGCAAATCTATCCATTAAAAATAAAAATATTCCCAGATAAAGACAGAAAATTTGCTGCCAGCCATCCTAAGAAATACTAAAATAAAGCGGTTAAAACTGAAAGAAAGGCTTGATTCTTCTATTTGAAAATATTGAATTGATTTGTCAATTCAGGGTATGTGTGCGTATGTGTTTGTGTGTATGCCGAATATTCCAAACTTTCTCATACACTTTTTTATTGATTTTAGAAGCAAAAATATTGCAAATATATAAAAATATCCTTGGAAGGTTTAATTAGTTCAATTTTTATACTTTTTTAGTCCTATGAATTTTAATAATAAAACTGATTATTAAAGAATTGATTTAATCTTTGATAAATAAATAAATAATTGATTTAATCTTTATGTCTAGCTGAAGATGTAAAGATTAACTGGAAGAAAAATTATAAAAATTTTATTCAGGCTGGGTGCAGTGGCTCACGCCTGTAATCCCAGCACTTTGGGAGACTTAGGTGGGCGGATCACGAGGTCAGGGGATCGAGACCATCCTGGCTAACACGATGAAACCCCATCTCTTTTTAAAAAAAAAATACAAAAAATTAGCCGGGCGTGTTGGCGGGTGCCTGTATTCCCAGCTACTCAGGAGGCTGAGGCAGAAGAATCGTGTGAACCCGGGAGGCAGAGCTTGCCATGAGCCAAGATTGCACCACTGCACTCCAGCCTGGGTGACACAGCAAGAGTCCGTCTCAAAAAACAAACAAAATTATTCAAAACTCACAATGATAAAGAAGTATAAAAAAGTAAGCTCTAGCCAGGCGCGGCAGCTCACGCCTGTAATCCCAGCAGTTTGGAAGGCCAAGGAGGGCGGATCACAAGATGAGGAGGTCAAGACCATCCTGGCTACCATGGTCAAACCCCGTCTCTACTAAAAATCCAAAAAATTAGCCAGGCGTGGTGGCGCGTGCCTGTAGTCCCAGCTACCCGGGAGGCTGACGCAGGAGAATGGCGTGAACCAGGGAGGCGGAGCTTGCAGTGAGCCGAGATCGCGCCACTGCTCTCCAGCCTGGGTGACAGAGCGAGACTCCGTCTCGTTTAAAAAAAAAAAAAAAAAAAAAAAAAAACTCCAGTCCCTAAGTTGATGCAAGGCAAGGACATATTGTGTGGCAAAGTTAGAATTGCTGGCAAAGGAGACCCTAGAACAATAATCCCTGGAAATAACTGAAATTTCAGGGACAAATCCAGATCCTCAAAAACTGTGAAATTGAGGGAGCCTGAGCAGAGATCTCCAAGGAGCCAGATACCATCTGTGTGCCAGGGTGAGAGGACAGAAAACGGACCAGGTCTGTCTCTGACAGGTTGAGCAGATGGAGTGGGAAGGAGGGATCTGGAAGGCCAGGAGGGTGAAGGGAACTGCAGGGGTGGGTGGTGGTGGGCAGGGCTGGGATTTAGCCTCCTCCTCCCACTGCCCACCCACCCTTAGGAGCCCTTTGTGAGGGGGAGGCCCCAGCTCTGTGATGTGGGCCTGGGCCCCAATAAATACTCCCAGAGGGATGCCCAGGGCTCAGTAGCCGGAGGACAGCAGTGCAGCTGACATGGATATTCTCTTTCCTCTGAGTGTTATTGATACAGAGCTGTGCCCCAGCCCCGTTCCCCAGATCATCCATCTCATCCTCTTCGTTGGGTTTAGCCTGGTGTTCCTCATCATCTTAAGCCCCTACTTTCCCAGGGAGCTGTCCTCAGTGCCTCCCAGAGAGGAGAACAGCGAGAATGTAAGGAGCCCTCAGCCCACACCCAGCAGAGAATGATTCTATTTTTCCTGCTCTCTTTTCCACTTTTCCAAATCAAGCAGGGGCGCTCCTGTGATGGGAAGTCTCATCATCCCTCTAGGGACAGCAGGGCAGGCAGGCGTTGGAGTGGGCATAGGATTTCCAACCCAAGCTCCCAGACCATCTGTGGGGTGCACGGGAGGCGTCAGAGCAAAAACAAACCCCGGGACTCAGCGGCGAGGACCCGGTCATGAGAGGGGTGAGGTCTCTGTGGGAGGACAGGCCCTGAGCCCGGGCTCATCAGCCGCCTTCCCGGGCAGGTGCCTCGGGGCCCAGCCTCTGTGTGGGGTGGTCTGGCGGCTGTGCTGAGCCCCTGAGAGCCTCCCACCTGAGCCTGGAGTCGCCTCTGGCCTCCTCGGAAGCAGAATCCTCCCTGCCAGCTCAGAGGCTCCTGCAGACGCAAGTGTGTGTGGTTCCCAAGCAGCGGGAACAGGGACTGAGGATGCCCAGGGCGGGCCTCACATAGAAAACCCCTCTGTGCTTTTCAAAGAAGGAAACCAGAACAGGTTATTATGCACTTTAGAATCGAGTGAAAGGAAAGAGAAGCACACAGGGCTCCATGAGCTGGGCGGAGAAAGTGTGTCATTCACGAGCACTGTGGGTCTGCAGCTGTGGGGACAGGAGACTGAGACCCGGCCTGCACCCTCACTCTGTCTTGTCTCTCAGGATAAAGCTGAAGTGGGGGAATGGCTCAGGATCGGAAATAAATACATCACCTGGAAAGGTAAGGCTCTGAGGGTCCCAGAAGCCCCAGAGATGACAGCTTCACCTGTCCCTAGGAATAAGCACCAAGTCTCCTAGGAAGTCATTTGCAGAGGCCTGGTGGGGAAGCTCCTGGTAAGGCAATTGGAACCTGGGGTATGTCTCCCGTTCCCTGCTGGGATGAAGCCTTGGGGTCCAGGGAGCGGGTGTTGCCCAGGAGGGGACTGCGTGGGGGAGGGGACCAGTGACCACCTGGACATGCTGGAGGGGATGCAGGTCCTTGTGGGCAGCTGTTTAACATGGCTGAGTCCTCTCTGAGACTGCCCCTGTCCTCTCTTCCCAGGAGGTGGCATGTCGGGAAGCACTTTGTAAATGACAAAGTGCTGGCGCCCGGGCACCTGGCTCTCACTCTTGGGGCCATGTGGCCTTGGACAGGGATGCTGGGGCTCCAGGGTCTGATCCCCGATCCCGGGGTCTCCCCTAAGGCACATGCACTCAGCCTCCTGTAAGTCCCAGTTCCCTCCCTCACCACCATAACCCATCTCCTGCTTTCCAGATTGCAGAAGTCTCTTGAAAGAATTGGAGAACCTTGAGTTCTACACTTTCCTGTCGAAAAAGTGAGGCTCTTTCCCCTTCTCTCCTGTGTCCTCCTTCCTACCAGGACCTAGGATGCCAGCCCAGGGCCTGGGGCTGATCTGGGAGGGGAGATCACAGCCAGGATGTCACTAAAGCCCTGGGGCAGGGGTAGGCAGAGCTTTGTGAAGTCAGCATGGGGGGTCCTGGAGAGGCGTGGGCCGCAGGTGCCCAGTGCCCCCAGCTGCAGCCTGTGCCTCCCGTCTGCTGCAGGTGCCTGAGGAAGCTCCTTGTTGAGGGCAGCTCCCAGCATGTTCCACGCCAAGCCCGCTCGGGGTCAGTGTACAAACGAACATCTGTGAGGAACCACCGGCCACGTGGGGGGCGTGGGAAAGCTTCTCCCATCAGCTTCCATGTGTCCCCACGGGCTCCCCCAGCTCCTCTGGCCTCTGCGCCGTCATCAGTCCGGAAGACCTCTGTAGGGTCCTTTGAGTCTCTGTCATCCCTGAGCTCCTCCAAGTCACCAGAGCCTTTGTGTCCCCTGAAGCAGCCTTCACAGGAGCCACCTGCGAGCAGCCTATCACCAAACACGACCACCTCCACAGAATCCTTGGGGTATCTGTCATCCCTCAGCTCCTCCCAGCAACCAGAGCCTTTGCATCCCCTGGAGTGTCCTTCATCCAAGCCACGTGGGCATTCCTTTCCCCGACGATGGAATCCTGGCTGGGTGTCCTGGACCGACTCCACGCAGGCTGATTCCGAAACTGACGCCACAATATGCCCAATGTGCAAGGCCCCTGCGCACTCCTGTCAACACAGCTGGTGGGTGCCTTCTAGTCCTCGAGTGATCCAAGGTGTTGGTCGCCGCAGTGATCTCGACCTGAGCCTCTCCTGGAGGCAGGAGGCTGCTAGAGCCTGGTGCCTCTGCACCTCCTCGCAGTACCCATTCGAGCACCTTAATCTTCCCACCCACCTACCAAAGGCTTCCTTCTAGGGAGACCCCACATGCGGGCAGGTGGAGGCAGGGACCCCACTTCCCTCAGCTTGGAGGTGCCAACGCTACTGGACGCACAAGACACCAAAATCCCAGACACTCCCATGGACACCGCACATCCCACATCCACGAACAACTGGGAATCTCCTGAGGACAACTTGGAGGCATGTCCCCTCATTCAGGCACTCCACAGATGCTAGAAACACGTGTTGTAATGGATTGGGAGAGGCGGAGATAGGGTCCAAACCTCCAGTCCCTGGAGCCTGTAAATCTCCTTGGGAGGCTTGGCCCCCACAGAGACTTCTTCCACAGCGCTGCACACAGAGACCTGCCACTGCAAAGCAAAGACCTCCCGCAGAGATCTCAGAGTGTCCGTTCTTCCTTCCTAGAGGATCTGAACTCACTTAGAAAACTGCCAGCACAGGAGGGATGACATCAGCTGTGCCCTTCGCCGGAAAACCCAGAGACTTTGGGTCATTGTCAACACTGTCGCTAAAATGGACTCTGCTAGGGAAGAGGCTCAGGAATTGTTGCTCTTTCGCAATGCCATTCTTTCCTAACAGCACTGCAGATTCCATGTTCTCTGCAGTTCCCTGACCCACAGTTTAGAGAATCACAATTCTTTTTTCTTTTTTAGATGGGATCTCACTCTGTTGCTCAGGCTGGAGTGCGGTGGCACCATCTTGGCTCATCACAATCTCTGCCTCCCAAATTCAAGCCATTCTCCTGCCTCAGCCTCCTGAGTAGATGGGGTTACAGGCGCGTGTCAATGCACCCAGCTAATTTTTGTAATTTTAGCCTAGAGAGGGTGTCACCACGTTGGCCAGGCTTGTCTTGAACTTCTGACCTTGAGATATCTGCCCACCTTGGCCTCTCACAGTTCTGGGATCATAGGCTTGAGCCACCACACCTGGATGAATCACAAATTTTAAACCTGAATAAAATGCTGCATCCTCCAATGAGAGTAAAATATCCTCTTTGCCCAATTTTAGTTATTTTCTAGTCAAACGGTATCAGTGCTATATTTTAAAATTTCACTGGGTGACTTCCTCATTTTGGAAACATGATAAAGACCCACAGCAAATGGACTCTAGAAATTACACCAGCAGAGGCATGTGGGCTCACACTGGCCTCCAGGGGCTGTGCAACTGACACGTTATTTTGCATATAACTTGGGTCAGGGTTGTGAGGTCTGGTTTTTAAAATGAAGCAACAATCATATAAAGATTTTCAAACAAATGAGTCAAATGTATGGCAGTATTTCTATTTTATTCTATGGCAAAATAATTCATCTTAATTTTGATATTATTTTGTTCCTTAGGATTTGACAAAGTCTTGATGTTCAGCCATGGCTTAAGCTGATGAACTACTTAGAAGGATTCCTTTTTTTTTTTTTCTTGAGACCAAGTCTCGCTCTGTCACCCAAACTGGAGTGCAGTGATGCGATCTCGGCTCACTGCAACCTCTGCCTCCCAAGTAGCTGGGACTACAGGTGCCCGCCACCATGCCTGGCTAATTTTTGTATTTTTAGTAGAGACGGGGTTTTACCATGTTGGCCAGGCTGATCTTGAACTCCTGACCTCAAGTGATCCTCCCTGCTTGGCCGCCCAAAGTCCTGGGATTACAGGCGTGAGCCACCATGCCCAGCCGTAGGATTCATTTTTTAAATAGTTCTAAGAAATGGACATTTTCCAAGACTCAGGAGGTCAGGCTTCATTTTATCTTCAGTAAAGGGTTAAAAAAGGATGTGATTCTTGAAATATCTTGGAATCTTACAGAATTTCTCACTGAATGTATGCTTGAGATAGATACACGGCCCATTTAAACTGCTGGAAAGAGGTGTCTTGTCATCTGAATTGAAGACAGTGCCCATTTAGTCAACATGTGTATTAGAATAACGAAAGCCCTCACTACTTACGTGCCCAGCACTTTCCAAAGGGTGCACTTTGTTGAGACTGTATATTTCTCGCTGCTGTCGTTGGCTTGTTAAAGTCTGTTTTCACAGCATATGTCAAGCATGTGTCCCTGGTGAAGTCTCTCAGATTATCCCCACGGTGAAAGCATCACACGACTTTCTTCAACAGGAGCGAAGTCGACACGAGGGCCCTGGAAGCCGATTTATTCCAACAAGAACTTCCCTCCTATTCCTTATAATTACACATTTATACCTATTCTATTTTTTTACTTTACTCCCTTTAATGTCATTGAATCACAAAATGATGATATACGGTCATGAGTATCCTCTAGTGCACTGTCGGCTTATATTCTGTTTCTAGTGCAACAGATGTTTAATCATCAGAACAATGGACCAACTAGGAAAGATTTCCACAGAAAATACATTACAGAGCAGTGTACCCTTTTAAACAGGGTTAAACTAAATGATCATGTCTTTTCACTTAAAGTGGTTTGGGGTAGCCACAATGTCTGAAAACAGACAACTGTCCATAATAAATAGTTTATTGTTATGACTTTTTTTTTTTTTTTTTGAGATGGAGTCTCACTCTGTCGCCCAGGCTGGAGTGCAGTGGCTGGATCTCAGCTCACTGCAAGCTCCGCCTCCCGGGTTCACGCCATTCTCCTGCCTCAACCTCCAGAGTAGCTGGGACTACAGGCGCCGCCACCCCACCTGGCTAGTTTTTTTTTGTATTTTTTTAGTAGAGACGGGGTTTCACCATGTTAGCCAGGATGGTCTCGATCTCCTGACCTCATGATCCACCCGTCTTGGTCTCCCAAAGTGCTGGGATTATAGGCTTGAGCCACCACGCCCGGCCAGCTGTTATGACATGTTTAATGCACTGTCCCTCACTAGGAATTCTTAGTTCAATAGGTTGTGCAAAACCGCAGTGCACGGTGTGCACTAAAGCAACGTTCCCATCATCTGCTGCACCTGTGTCCACCATACATGGCTGCAGATGATTTATGTGTCCAACTTCCAGGGTGTAAATTTATGCCTTTATCAATATTTCCAGACTTCTTTTTTTTTTGAGACAGGGTCTCACACGCAGGCTGGAGTGCAGTGGCGCGGCACCGCTTATTGTAGCCTTGACCTCCTGGGCTCAAACGATCCTCCCACCTCAGTCCCCCGAGTAGCTGGGACAGACAGGTCTGTGCCACCAGGCCTGGCTAATTGCTCCCTTTTTTTTTTTTTTTTTTGGTGAAGCTTGTATTGCCAAGGCTGGTCTTGAACTTCTGGCCTCAAGTGATCCTCCCACCTCAGCCTCCCAGAGTGTGGGATTACAGGCATGAGCCACCATGTCTGGTCTTGGTTTTGAACTAGATTTTTATTTAAAATAGGTTTCACACTGGCCGGGTGCAGTGGCTCATGACTATAATCCCAGCACTTTGAGAGGCCGAGGCGGAAGGATCACGAGGTCAGGAGATCAAGACCATCCTGGCTAACACGGTGAAACCCCTTCTCTACTAAAAATACAAAAAATTAGTCGGGCATGGTGGCGGGCACCTGTAGTCCCAGCTACTCAGGAGGCTGAGGCAGGAGAATGGCGTGAACCCGGGAGGCGGAGCTTGCAGTGAGCTAAGATGGCCGCACTGCACTCCAGCCTGGGCGACAGAGCAAGACTTCATCTGGGAAAAAAAAAAAAAAAAAAAAAGGTTTCACACTGATTTCAATAAATCAGGCATTCCAGAACACAATGTTTAGGGTGGCAATTATATGTTGACTTCTTAATACTCACAAGCGATAAAGATCTTTTCCAAATAAGCAAAAAAAGTAGTCATTGTGCAATATTAGCCTCTAAGAGTGATTTCCTTTTATAGACTACAGTATTACTGACAGTGTCACGCATTCTTGCTTTATAAAGAACTCCATGGGAAGAAATCTCCCCCGTCTTTCCCAGGAGACACAGCTACGTTTTCTGTCACCCGCAAACCATTGTCGCAGTACAGCGTGTCCAGAGCCAAAGAACGAAGGGGTTTCACAATTGCTTCCCCATGTGTGCCATGAGCTTGATCAGATTTGAAACCATTCCCGTGACAGGATCAAGCTTTATAATTGTGACCCTGCCATATGGATGGTTTGCATTTCCCGAACAGGAGAGTGTCCTGGGTTACTCAGAGGTGTGCCATGGCGCCCTCCCTTGGCCGTTTTATAATAACCAGAACAGTCCATCTGCCCATGGACACACATTCCAAGTTCTCCACAGCCCGGTACCACCCTTATGCAAAGGATATGGATGGAACTCACATTCAGAAAGCTAGAAAATAAGGCTGTGCCAGGCACAGTAGATGAGCAATGAGAAGATGCTAATGTCTTTTCTAGAAGCATGAGTGATCCAGCTCTTTGGTTCTGAGCATTTCTGCGCTTTAGCGTTTCTCTCCCTCTTTCACAGTAAAGACGTTGGCAGTTCTTCCCTCCTCCTGAGATCAGAAACTGGAACGGCCACCACCTGCTCCCTGATGTTTTCACGATCTCTGCTATTTGTTACAATGACCACTTAGCCAGACATCTCGGTGCACGGATCCCCCTTAAACTGTAGAAGCAAGACCAGCCCACCACCCTTCCTTTTTAGTCCTGCCATAATTTGATGCTAGTAACACTTTGCCTACCTACTTCCAATGGTAACAAATATTTTGTAGAATGTGCAAGTTTATTCTGTAGATTGTGGTCCCTGAAGTGACAGAAACTCTCCACCTAGCAGATCTGTGACTTAGGTAACTCACTCAGTGTCTCCAAACTTAATTTCCTTGATGCGGAAAATGGGGATGGAAGTTAATAACATTGCAGGAAAGGGGACATGAGTTACCATATAAACTCTTTGCATGGTTCCTATTGGATCATTTTGCTATTATTATTGCTTGTATTTTTGTCACATTATAACCAACTTAGTTTTACTTGTTAAAGTACACACAATTGGGGTTTTCTTAAAGAATTAATCAATTTAATTTATTAGCACAAAAGCTAGTGTTAAAAATATGCGTTAAAAATTGAGTTCCGGCGGGGCACGGTGGCTCACGCCTATAATCCCAGCCCTTCGGGAGGCTGAGGCGGGCAGATCACTTGAGATCAGGACTTTGAGACCAGCCTGGCCAACATGGTGAAACCGTTTCTACTAAAAATACAAACAATAGCCGGGTGTGGTGGCTCGTGCCTGTAGTCCCAGCTACTCAGGAGGCTGAGACAGGAAAATTGCTTGAACTGGGAGGCAGAGGTTGCAGTGAGCCAAGATGGCGCCACTGCACTCCAGCCTGGGCGACAGAGTGAGACTCTCAGAAAAAAAAAAAAAAAAAGTCCCATCTGAGAAAATAAACTGAATATTTAAGTAAATTTCAAATCTTTTTTGCCACGTGGTATTTAGGGGTTTCTACTAACTGACTTGGATGTTAAAGGGCTGTTTTTGTGATCTCAAAGCCATTGCCACTTACTTTGAACCAGCTGGACGTCTGGGGTACTTCAGAGCCAACTGTTTTCTCCATGCAGCCTGCTCCTTGCTGCTGGTTCCGAGTCCCTGAATGAAATCTGGGATCTTCATGGCTTACCTACTTACGTTCAGGAAAAAAAAAGAAAAAAGAAAAAAAAATCCTCCAGTTATCTCCAACAATAAGAGGTCTGATTTCAGTCATTAAACTGTGCAGTGTGACATCATAGCCAAATGGCCACATTGCATTGGAGAGCCAAGCATCCTCTTCCAGAACAGCCTGCCTGGGCGCGGGCCACTATGCCTGGCTAATTTTTGTATTTGTAGTAGAGACGGGGTTTCACCATGCTGGCCAGGCTGGTCTCGAACTCCTGACCTCGTGATCCGCCTGCCTCGGCCTCCCAAAGTGCTGGGATTGATTACAGGCATGAGCCATCGTGCCGGGCTGCTTTTCTTCTTCAGAGAAGGTTTTCTTTATTTTTGCGATATCATTACTTGCGCTATTGACAAGTACCAAATGCACAGTGTATAACTACGTAAACCCATCCACCTAACAGCCCAATTCAACGTAGTCGACTGTTCAGAGCCCTGAATGACATCTTGATAAAGCACCAAAAGTTGTTTCCATAAAGATCTTCAAGGTGTTTGAGCGCATCTTGTCAGACGCCCATCAAGGAAGCTGACTCTCACTGGGT